CTGCGTTTAATCCCAATGGCAGGTCGATCGAAATCGCTACGGATAACTCGAGCAGGCAGTGGAATGGAATCATCACGACTCAAGCAGGGCAGGTCGAGGACTTCATTCAGAGCAATTCACGAAATCAGGTTGTTTGGGTTTTGAGACGATATACAATAGGCTTAAATTTTAAATTTTGAACTGGGGGGCGATAGGAATGGGTGGTCTAAGAGAGCTTGAGCATGATGATCGAAACGCAACAGGCATAAGTTCAAATTTTCAAATTCAAGACTGCACGGAGTGGCTATTCAGTCCTTGTTTTTCGACCTCCACGGCCTCGACGCTCGGTTTTCGACCTCCACGGTCTCGACGCTCGGTTTTCGACCTCCACGGTCTCGACGCTCGGTTTTCGACCTCCACGGTCTCGACGCTTGGTTTTCGACCTCCACGGTCTCGACGCTCGGTTTTCGACCTCCACGGCCTCGACTCTCGGTTTTCGACCTCCACGGTCTCGACGCTCGGTTTTCGACCTCCACGGCCTCAACTCTCGGTTTTCGACCTCCACGGCCTCAACTCTCGGTTTTCGACCTCCACGGCCTCGACGCTCGGTTTTCGACCTCCACGGTCTCGACGCTCGGTTTTCGACCTCCACGGTCTCGACTCTCGATTTTCGACCTCCACGGTCTCGACGCTCGGTTTTCGACCTCTACGGTCTCGACTCTTGATATTCGACCTCCACGGTCTCGACGCTCGGTTTTCGACCTCCACGGTCTCGACGCTCGGTTTTCGACCTCCGCGGTCTCGACCCTCGATTTTCGACCTCAACGGTCTCTCGACGCTCGGTTTTCGACCTCAACGGTCTCTCGACGCTCGGTTTTCGACCTCAGCAGTCTCGACTCTCGATTTTCAACCTCCACGGTCTCGACGCTCGGTTTTCGACCTCCACGGTCTCGATGCTCGATTTTTGACCTCAACGGTCTCTCGACGCTCGGTTTTCGACCTCCACGGTCTCGACGCTCGGTTTTCGACCTCCACGGTCTCGACGCTCGATTTTCGACCTCCGCGGTCTCGACCCTCGATTTTCGACCTCAACGGTCTCTCGACGCTCGGTTTTCGACCTCAACGGTCTCTCGACGCTCGGTTTTCGACCTCCGCGGTCTCGACTCTCGATTTTCGACCTCCACGGTCTCTACGCTCGGTTTTCGACCTCCACGGTCTCGACGCTCGATATTCGACCTCCACGGTCTCGACGCTCGATTTTCGACCTCCACGGTCTCTACGCTCGGTTTTCGACCTCCACGGTCTCTCGACTTTCAGTTTTTGACCCCTTACGGTCTCCGGTGCTCACGTGGAAGTTTTATGATTATTCGGCGATCGAGAATTTATTCAAATCATAACCTCAGTGGAAGGTTAACGGAAGCGGCTTGAAGAGACATTTCACTCTTGGATCGAGTTATGCTTACTCGACCAGAGTGGGGGGGACTAGATGATATAGGATATTATACTTGACCCGGTTTAATGGATAGAGCGAATACATTTTAGAAGATAAGCCCACGTGCGGACTAAAGACATATAACACCGCGATATGGGCCAAGCCCAATTTGGGCCCAAAAGGTACACTTCCCCTATAAAAGGGGGGTTAAGGTATCCCTTTCTCTCATTCTCTCTTGATTCCACTACTACTCTCTCCCTACTCTCTCTTTATTCATCCTCATCCAGTACTGACTTAGGCATCGGAGGCCCGACGTCGGGGCCACCCCCGGCGTTGGGTTCTGCAGGTACGGAGGCCGGTTCGAGTTGAAGGAGCCCGGGTGAAACTTATTCACTTCACACAGACATATATACATATTGTAAACCTGCTAGTATGACTTATTATATAATATAAATATAATATTATGTCTCTATTGTTTGTGGAATTTTTTTTTTCTTGATTTATTTTGTGTCGTACTGTATAATGTTCATGACATATACCTTAAAAAAAACTATGTATATACTGCCATATGTAACAGGTACAGAAAGCCAGTGACAAGGTGTATAAGGTGATGTCTAATGGTAAGGCATTTATAGTGGACATTGATTCCAAGACTTGCACATGCCACCACTTTCAAGTTGATGAGCTGCCGTGCCCGCATGCTATACGTGTGATCAAGTCACTCCACCTGGATCCGGTCCCATTCTGTTCTGATTACTACCTAACCACTTCAATGTTGGCAACTTATGAGGTAGCTGTAATACCAATAGAAGGTGATCAAGCCTTCAAGTTTGATGCACCGGATATCCCGAAATTGGTAAATCCCCCGGATGGAAGAGTGAGGCCAGGGAGACCACGCAAACAACGATTCAGGTCGGGGTTGGAGCATAGATCAAAAAATAGATGCAGCAAATGTCATGAGAAAGGGCACAATGTGAAAACTTGTCGTAATCCAATATGATGAAAATCATAGCACTGCCATGTATATTATGAATCCTTTTTATGCTAAGTGTTGCTTGCCATCATTAATTGTTATGATTTCTTTTTTTTTTTTTTATTTCATAATTGTAACAGCAATGTGAATGATATTAAGTGTGATTTATAATCTGTAACTTTGTATATAATACGCATTTATAGTACATATACGAAAGATATGATTTTGATATACCAAACTAAAAAAAACATATACTATACGTACACCAGAAAAATCAATGTTTTCATCACATATATTTCTTCAAATATAGTACATCCATCTGTTTAAATAAAATAAGTATATGTCACAATATAACATAGATATTCACACATTCATATGTTCAGTTGTTCATTTGTTCAGTTTATATGTGTGTTACATATAAAACACATATAATGGGGGACAGTCTGGATAATTACAAGACGAAAATACCAGAAAGTATAACCTAAAAAAAAATTGGAAAATATACCTTAATATAATTTAGATTTAAAAGAATTAAAGTCAATGTTGTTTCATTCGTAGTAAAAAGGATATACATCGCATATACCAAACATATACCAAAACATATAACGAAAAAAAAAAACACCGCACATGTGACAAGCATTAAAAAAGAAATGAAAAAAATATAATAAAAAACAACCAATCTGTCTAGCCCGGAAAAAAACCAGCAAAAAATACCATAAGTGCAACTAAAAATACTAGAAATCCAAACAAAATATAAGTTAAATCTACCAAAATACAAGTTCGATGTTTTACCACATCTCAATCACTTCAATCAGAAAAATCAAATGATTAATAATTAAAAAAAGTCTATGATTTTTCTCTCAAATTCAAAAGACTAATCCTAACTTCATCGGGTGCACTACCAGGGGATTCATCATCACTGACATATCCATTATCTTGTTTCATTTTGCCATGGTCGTAGAGCAAATATGCGTATCTCTCCCTAAAAGAAGTGACATCAAACTTCTCCTTGTTGATCTCATGACCCGAAATGAAATGTTCAGCAAAAGATGCAACATATACCCCACAATCACTGTCAAAAAAAATAAAAAATATAAACAGAAAGAATTTAATAATAATAATAATAATAATAATAATAATAATAATAATAATAATAATAATAATAATAATAATAATAATAATAGTGAGTATATAGTAAAGCATGTTAATGGCAATTAAAAAATTACAAACTCCTATATCGTACCTGTTGTTCTGCTGTGGCAGATTGTCCACCATAACCACTTCAATATTACCGTTGCAAGCCACTCCACTCCTCGAAAAATTCACCAAGGCAAGGAATATGGGCAGAATCTCAACATAAGCCTTCACAATCTCCGTAACAAGGACATCACAATCTTCAGTCCGAATTGAATTGTAGATATAAAGCTTCATGTCATCAAGCGAAAATCGTCCCAAAATCCAGTGACCCACATTGTTTATTTCCAAATGCATCGGAAACATGACATGATCAACCTTGGACCAAGGAACAGCACATATAATCTTATAGCCGAGTATGTAGTCAATGAGCATATCGTCTACATTGCATACAGACTTGTTCCGCGACTGAGACACAAACATTGCGTACACATCTGTCGTTGTAAACCTGACGGCGGCAGATTTACCATAAAAGCCAATCTTCCTCAGGTAGTAAAAAACACATCCATGTGCTGCAGAAAAGTATATATACAACATGTCAGGAATAAGTAAAAATAAAGGGATTAACTTGAATAAAATATCTACAATATAATGTAACAACAAGCAAAAGAGCTCAAGTGTATTAGAAAAAAGAAATATATATATATATAACAAGTAAGAAATAAAAAGTTTTACACAAAATCGTACTTACGCTGCTATCGAGGAAGCAGCCTATCTCGAATATGTGGTAAAACCAGTTCTTGTCAGACACAGAAACAACATTAAATTCAAAGGGAGCTGGCAAAGTTTTGTTCCTGACTTTGTAGTAATTATAACTGCAAAAAAATGAAATTAAAATTTATAAGTTATATGTATGATGTTTTTATGGTAAATGACAAAATTTTTTTGCAATGGTTTTCAGTATATTTGATGTATATTAAACTTACTACATATCTATGAAATAGAAATCATTAGTACCCGTTTGCGACTTTGCGAAGAGCCGACTGGAGCAAACCCTGACAAATCCAGTCTCTGAATTCTTTCATGTCCACTTCCCCAGAAATATTTATGCGAAAGCTGACGTCGAATGGGCAAGATTTCAGAAGTCTTATTCGCTTCTTGGTGAATATTTCGCTCTCTAGTTTTGTCTTAGGCTTATTGGTTCGCCTGACTTTGTCTTCCTTTGGAATGAATACCACTAAATAAAGGGGCTCTTGGGCCTTGATTTGTTGTTGGTTCTCTCTTTTTACCAACACATTCTTCTCGACAATCTGAAAATATAGTGA